GCGCATGGGCGCCTTCTGAAAAGTGTGACTTGGATTTCATGAGACAACTCTTCTGGAGGCCCTTCACAGTACACTCTGAATAACTGCCGCACAGGTGACATGCAACAATAAAACTCTCATCAACACAGCTATCGTAAACAAATAACTTGTGCCCATTGGGCTGCATGCCTAGCTTAGCTAGTCTAGCAGCATTGCCAGGGCACCTTTCCTTTTCACGTGAAACCTTTACTTTGTCAGAGCGGCATCGCGAGTGGCAAACGCAGCAGAGCCAACGATTCTTCTGCCACGTCCAGACGTGCCCCACACGAGCACGGGCGGCCCTGGGGGGACGGGGAGGGGGAGGAGCCGCCGCAGCTCCAGAGCCCGAGGAACCCCCAGGGTTAGCTCCGCCTTGCCACACTGCCGCGATTGAGCCAGCTCCGACAGCGGGATTGGCAGCCTTCACAGGCCCCTCCAGGGCCTTTCCCCCAACCCTCGGCGCAATTGGAGGCCACAACGCGAGGGCCTTCGGCACAAACCGAAGGAACCTTCTGAGCCTCTGGTCGAGCAGCAGCTGGGCGTCACGCTCGTTGGCCGAGGGCTGGGGGAGGCGAGAGGCAGCTAATTTTGCGATTCTGTCAGCTGCGTCGTTTCCCGAGGCGTGGCGCCACTCGTCTGAGTAGCGCTCGAGGGAATCTACATCTCGATGGGCTTTGACCTTGGCAACTTCAAAACCCCCGTCGCGGCTGGCTTCTCCAAGCTTGGCCATAGCACCAAGCCCGTCATATATATTCTTCCTACTGGCAGGGAGTCCAGAATTGTGGCAGGCCACGACTCCCTTAAAGTCGGAGTGGATCTTAGTTACTCCTCTAAATTGGCTGCTGGCTAAGTACGCTAGGAATTCGGCCGCTGGGGAGGTAGGCGGCAGCGCGCTGCCTACGGGCCCACACAAGTAGGCTTCTATTTCCCCATGGGGGTCACATTTTACCGTAGCCCAGCCTGGGGCGTGAAACCAAGAGTGGCCCGATTTGGCCACACTGCCGTCGACGTAAACCTCGCCAACGAAAACTTCCGCTGGTTGACGGCCGCCACGGGACCAAAACTCAGCCTCATTCAAACCTAATCCTACGGGCCGCGGGACCTTGAAAGGGGGCGGCTCTGGAAAACCCGCACACGTGGCAAAGGCTGCTGGGTCCTTCAGGGCTTCCACATTTCCTTCCTCAGGAAACTCCTCCCGAAGCTGAGCACAATTGGGGCACTCCAGGAGGCGGTGGAATATGTGGTCCTGGGGGGCCCCGCATATGCACGTGGTGTCAATGTCGTAACCCGCTTCTTTGAGTCTACACTTGGTCCATATCGACTGGGTCAGGTACGAGACGAGAACACTTCGATCTTGCTTAGATAATCTTTTATCTGCAACTGCTGCTTTGGCGTGTGACACATCAATTGCTGGCACTCCTATCTTGATGGCCGCCTGCTCCGCCTGCCTGTCGTGCCAAGCTGCCTCCAGCATCTGACGGATGAGCGCAGGCGAACTGGTGGTGAGCGGGTAGACCTCGCCCTCCCCACTCATGAACTCCATGGGGCTGGTCCATGACCAGCCAACTCTAGGCAGACTTAAATAAACCGCCCCAAGAGGACCTCGTATGTTTCCCCATCCCGAGGGTGGCTTGTCCAGGATATTGGCAGCAAGTTGTCGGAGTTCGGGCAGGGTGAATTCTGATTTCCTTGGGTCTTGGGCGGCTCGGAAGACGATGATGCTCCAGTACATGCATGGCCCCAGGGCGGATCTCCAGGTAGGGTCCTCTAGGACAGCGAGCGACAAGGCCCGAGAACGCGTAGCACACTTGGGCCCAGCAACCTTCAAGAACAGCGATTGTGCCTCCTGGAGCTCCTGAACAGACAGCCCAATAATTTCAGTCCCAAAATAACCAGCTTGTTGGAGCCCCGTATTCCAAACCTTACGAGTGTCAGCTCCAGCAGCACGAAGAGCGCGCAGGCGACGAAGTCTCAGCTTCAACTTGCAGGCTCTTCCTTTCAAAGTTTTCCTTCCCTTGCTCCTTAGTCTGGCTCCTGCAGTGAAGTCGACTCCTAAGTTAGTGGCTGCCGTCTCGGCCAGACCAGCCTGAGGGCCGGCCCACTGGCCAAGCTTGGCCGCAAGATCAGCCTTGATCCTCGGCGTCGAAGCCACAACAGCAGCCTTGTGCTTAGCGATATCACACTTAAGATCGACGACGATCGACTGATGCATACTGGCTGAGGCCGTGACTAGATCTGCTATCAATTTGTTCGGCTTGCTGTTGTGGCTGGCAAGCAGGAAATCGTCAATGAAAATGGTAGGCTGCACTCTGGGGTTCTGAGCCACCCAGATGTCGATGGGCGGCAAGCAGTACTGCTGCACAACAAAAGTGGCGGCCCAGCATCCTGCAGCTATACCTCGCTCTGGGCAACCTGCAGGTAAGGCTGAGGATCTCGTGGCTACAGTCCTGGGCGCCTGGTACTGGTTGCTAATGATAACTACCAGGGAATCAGAGAAATTGGTATCCTGAGCTCTATCCCTCCAGAGTTTCCTATCCACATATTCATAATAATTGGATAAATCCCAAAGAACAGCTGCTGAGAAAACTTTCTTTTCTCCCAAGAATTGCCCTTCTGCTTGCATTGCTTGCTCGAATACAACTTCCAAAACACCTTTGCCAGCTTGATGAGCTAGATATCTACGAGGGTGAGCACGTTCCCAAGCACGAAACTCAAGCTGACGATGCTTGCCCCAGACTCTCCAAAGACCAGGCATCATACCTATACCCCTGTAGCTAGGACCTGGGTTAGGACCTGGTTTGTGCTTTTCTATCAGAACCGTCACGATGGCTCTTATCTGCGTCGGAAAGGCCCCTATCTTCTCGATGGACCTAAGGAGCCTACGCACAATAGCCAGCTGGGCGTCCTCGAGGAGGCTGAAGTGTCTTGGGTGGATCCCGTCCCAGGTCCTAGCTGTGGCACTACTGAATTTGCGACTGGCTTCGCGCAACTGATCTGCTGAAATGTCTGCAAGGTCTTCACCTCGCAGGTCGGCTTGAAGAAGGGCGGGCTCCTCAGGTCGAGCTCGCCACAGCTTGCTTAAACGTTGCTGTTCCGCCTCCAACATATCGATCGGACGGCCAGACCAGCGGGCTTTAGCAGAACTCCAGACTCTTGAGGGTTGCCAAGCCGTCAGTCTACTACTCCATCCGTGGGCCCACCCCA